GGCGAGAGCTCCATCTCTAGGCAACCGCACCACTCAACCTCCTTTCCTGATTAGCCTGTTAAAATGGGGTTTTTATTGGGAACAGCTCTGTTTTTTGCGAAAGTGAAGGACCTGTTTCTTAAAAGTCTGTAGAGATTCTCAGCCATCCAGGTGACGGTTGTCCCAAAGGTGCTTTTTTCGGGAGGCAACTGGACTTTCTTGTTTTTTTCTTTTGAAGATTTTTCACTTCTCATCCAAGAAGCTTCTTCAGCTCTGACTGGAGGGGGAGGAATGGAAGGATTGATACTCCTTGCAGACAGCTGGTCATTTGCATCCTTTTATAGAGGGTTGTTGAGGCCACTTGGAGGTTTATCTGTGTCCTCAGGGTCACCTGAGTGGTGCAAATGGTTCCTGCAGTAGTCTGCAATTTTTTCCCTCTGGAGATCCATTCCTACTCCCACACCACTCAAAGTTGTGGGAGTATAAATCCTTCCATTCCCCACTATCCAGTCAGAGCTGGAGAAGCTTCTTGGATGAGAAGCGAAACGTCTTCAAAAGGAAACAAAAGAAAGAAAGCCCAGTTGCCTCCTGAAGAAAGCATCTTTGGGAGAACCTGTTTCTTAATTCTAAGAGTAATGTCTACCTTATGGGTTTTGCCACGGTTTAGTTAAGAAAGCCTTCTGAGATATTCCTTGGGTTTTATAACTTTAATGTAGCTTCCCAGGCTTGTGATGTTTGCCTTGCTCTTCCTCAACAACATGGAAAGGATTTTTTAAAAAGCTTTTGCACAGATGTTACACCAGGGGGCAGCATCCAACTTAACTTTGGCTCTTTCAAAGGTTTTTGTTTGAAAAAAATAAATTAAGACGAATGTAGTTTTCTAAATTTTTTTATTTTATTTTATTTTTTAAATTTGATTTATATGCCGCCCTTCTCCGGAGACTCAGGGTGGCTTACAATGCGTTAAGCAATAGCCTTCATCCTTTTGTATATTTATACAAAGTCAGCTTATTGCCCCCACAATTTGGGTCCTCATTTTACCTACCTTAGAAAGGATGGAAGGCTGAGTCGACCTTGAGCCTTGGAGAGATTCGAACTAGCAGTAATTGCAGGCAGCAGATGTTAATCACAATGCTTTTAGTCTGCTGAGCCACCAGGCCCTTCATAAATGGGCAACAACCATAAAATCCTGCCTAACTGCAAACCTTTTAAAAAAAATATAAATCCCCAAAACACAGTGACAAAATATCATGTCCCTGAAGTCATCACCAACCAAGTAAAAAATTTACTTTATTTGCGCTGAGACTTTTAAACGTTTTTAATTTTAGGCTTTTCCCCCCAAGTTTAGGATGAATAGGATGAACCAATCTCACGTTTTCAGTGAGTCGACAACCTCTATCATGCCTTGACTAACCTTTTACAGGTAGTCCTCGACTTGTGACCACAATTGAGCCCCAGATTTATGTTGCTAAGTGAGAAATTTGTCAAGTGAGTTTTGTCACATTTTACGACCTTTCTTGCCAAAGTTGTTAAGTGAACCATTGCAGCTGTTAAGCAAGTCACACGGTTGTTAAGCAAATCTGGCTTCCCCCTTGACTTTGCGTGTCAGAAGGTCGCAAAAGGGGATCACCTGACCTCAGGGACACTGCGACTGTCATAAATATGAAACAATTGCCAAGCATCTGAATTTTGATCATATGACCACGGGGATACCGCAACGGTCGTAAGTGTGAAAAAACAGAAGTCATTTTTTTCAGTGCCGTTCTAACTTCGAAATGGTCACTAAATGAACTGTTGTAAATCAAGAACTAGCTATATTTATCTTAATGGGTCCAAGTATCTCGTGGTCAAGCTTAAGACGCCATATTTCTCCTGGTTCCTAAATTAACCCATGTTCTGGGTTTAAAATTCATTGGCTCATAGGAGCCTGGATAGCTCAATAGACTAAGCACTGTTATTAACATTAAGCTGTCTGCAATTACTGTAAGTTCAATTCTCCCCAGGCTCAAGGTTGACTCAGCCTTCCATCCTTTCTAAGGTAGGTAAAATGAGGACCCAGATTGTGGGGGCAATAAGCTGACTTTGTATAAATATACAAAAGTATGAAGGCTATTGCTTAACGCATTGTAAACCACCCTGAGTCTCCGGAGAAGGGCGGCATATAAATCTAATTAAAACAAAAAACAAAAAACTGAGATACCCCAATATACTAGCCCCGTGATGGCGAACCTATGGCACACGTGCCACAGGTGGCACGCGGAGCCATGTCGGTGGGCACGCAAGCTCAGCTCCAGCGTGCATGTGCGCGCTGGCCAACTTATTTTCAGGCCTTCTGGGCCCACTGGAAGTCAGGAAACACGCTATTTCCGGCCTTCGGAGGACCTCTGGGGAGGGGGGGAGGCCCATTTTTCGCTCTCCCCCAGCTCCAGAGCCTTTCTAGGAGCCTGGGGAGAGCAAAAAATGGGCCTTCCAGTCCCACCGGAAGTCAGCAAATGGGCCATTTCCGGCCTCTGTGGGGGTGGGGAAGGCCGTTTTCACTCTCCCCAGGTTCCTAGAAAGGCTCTGGAGCCTAGGGAGAGTGAAAAACAGGCCTACTGGGCCCACTGGGCCATTGCATGCCAAAACCAGAGGGAACACCGGGGGTGGGGTTGCGCATGCATGCATGGGGGGGCGAGGCACATAGAATAATGGGTATGAGCACGTGTGTGCACGACCCCCCCCCCACTATTGGCACGCAATGGCAAAAAGGTTAGCCATCACTGTCCTAGCCTATTGTAGTCCCATCAAAGCTGACTTTAATTGACTTTGGGACAACGTATAGATGGGTATCTGGCATGCTTTGATTTCTCAGTGAGGTCAAAAACCTCACTTTGTTTTCCTCAAAGCTGGAGGAGGCACCTATTCCTGATTTCACGAAGGCCGAAGACAGATCCTTTTGTCCGGAGCTCATTCCCAGCGTCACTGAATTAACTCAGATTAACAGAGTTGGAAGGGACCTCGTAGGTCATCCAGTCCAACCCCCCACCCAAGCAGGAGACCCTACACCATCTCTGACAGATGGCCGTCCAGTCTGTTCTTGAAAGCCTCCAGTGATGGAGCTCCCACAACTTCTGAAGGCAACTTCTGCTCCATCAATTGATTGTTCTCACTGTCAGAAAATGTCTCATTTCCAGGTTGAATCTCCTTAATCAGTTTCCATCCATTATTTCTTGTCTGGCCTTCAGGTGCCTTGGAGAATAGCTTGACCCCCTTCCTCCTCTCTGTGGCAGCCCCTCACACTCCGACTGAATTGTTTAGCTCAATCTTGATTGTTTGGAGACACTACAGAGTTCCTGTTCATTCACTCATTGATTCTTTGTTCTAATGAATGAATGAATAAAGTTGTCGGAAAGTTCCCGGAAGGGGAATCTGTGAAACAAAGGCTATTAACGTCAACCGATGGTGCTGAGTTTAAAAAAAAAAAATATTGAAGGGAAATAAGAAGGAACATGATTTATCACCCATTCGAAAAGAATTAGCCATTTGTTGTGTGATAATGGCATGGGGAGGGAGTCACAACTTGGGGTTATAGAGAAGGTTTGGTTCCCTCTTCCTACATTTTCTTTGATAGTAGGCCTTTGTGTGTGTGTGTGTGGAGAGAGAGAGAGAGAGAGAGAGAGAGATAGCAGCAATGTTTCAGCAAATTAGCACCTGCAGATTCAGTGGATAAAATTCAGATTAAAATCGTTGCCTTCACACCAAGTTTCAATGAGGAAAACTCTTTAAAATATTTGTAACTGAGGTTCTTGCTGCTACACTGCTTTATTTGGGATATTCTCCTTTATGTTTTAATAAACCAATAGGATCTCCAAGCTACTTTTGTTAGGGAAAAAATGTATTTCCAAGGTAACAATTGCACTGGAGCAACTCTTGTCTTCGTGTTCCCTAAATAGCTGTAAATGAGATCCCATCTTCATTTAAATATGCGTAGAATCCCTTTGCTTAGAAGAGTAAATTGTTAATACCATGTATATTAATCCTAGGGTTATATAAATTTGATTAATATAATAATTATGATGATTATCATTATTGATTTGTATCAAAATGAATTATACCCAGGGGCCACACAACTCATGTATTGATATTGATGCATATTTAAAAATAAAAAAACTAATAAAACATTAAAAAAAGAAGAAGAGTAAATTGTTCTGAATGCTGGCTTTACAACTCTGAATTATCTCCAAAACGGAATGTTCCTGCATGGGAAGTAGAAACAAATTTTAAGCAAATTTGACATCCGCACACCTCCGAATGCTTCGTTACTCTGTTTAGGCTGCCTCTCTACCTGTGTCGGACAGGTAACGTTCGCTCTCTGTGACGTTTTGATGGGGGGGGGGGAGAAATTGAGAGGCAGGAAAAGGGGGGATTATGGGACCAACTCTGCATCCCTCTGCCATGGGTGGAAAAACTTGTGTGTCTGTGAGTGTGCTGTCTTCGGAGCGCCCGTAGCAACACGACAGAAAAGCAGCCTACGAAAAAGATTAAAAGCTCTGTATTTCCTACGGCTATTGATTGAAAATGGCAGCTTGACGGAATGTTTCCCTTCAGAGAAGCTGCTCTTAGTGCTTTGCAAACCAGGCCCCTGGGAGGATTTAGTAACTTGCGTTTCCCTCTGGGTTGATTTCTGTGCAGAAAATTTTGAGAGGCGGATTCCGAACGAGTTGGTGCGATGGCTATTGATTCTCTCACGGCTCCCCTTCTGTGAGCCTCTCCCTCACCCCTCCCAAAGTTGTTGGTGCTTCACTTGTAGTGGTGAACAAAGTATGAAAAAAATAATCGATAAAAGAGAATATTTGTAGCTCAGGGTTGAATTGTGGGGTCCTTGGTGCTCTCTCAGGTTGCAGCCGTTTCATGACCCAACTAGGGAACATCATCAGTGCTAAAAAGCAGTTGGGTTTGCCCCCTGCATGTGCCCTGCCCCATGGATGCATGTGTGGCCACCCCACATTTATTAAGCAAGAACCCCTTTCTGTGTCTTCCAGATCACGTAAGTGAGAACTGGGAATCCAGAGAGTCCCCTCAGATCCCAAGAGCTATCATGGCTGAACCAGATTACATAGACGAAGACAATCCTGAACTCATTAAGCCTCAGAAACTAATTAATCCTGTAAAAACCTCCCGGAACCATCAAGATCTTCACCGAGAACTCCGTATGAATCAGAAAAGGTAAGAGATGGAGGGAGAAATCTTTCTGTATTTAATTAATACCATTATTGTTTTCAATATTGAAAAATAATAAAATAATAAGGAACAAACAAAGACTGTTCTCTGCTTATTAGACTTGCTCCCATAATCCAGCTGTCCAATGGCTGGGCTGCAATCCTGAGTTAAATAATGTTTCGCTTACAGGTAGTCCTTGACTTATGACCATTCATTCAGTGTACATGGGAAGTTATGACACACTGAAAAAAGTGATTTACAACAAGTCAGTGCACTTATGATCAAAATTCAGATGCTTGGCATGTATTTACGATGGTTGCACCCTTGTAGAATCATGCGATCATCATTTGAAACCTTCTCAGCCACTTCCGACAAGCAAAATCCACGGGGGAAACTGGATTTGCTTACTTAATGACTGATTTAAGTGATTCACTTAATAGTAAAAAGGTATTGTGCTCAATGCCTCATTCAGCAGTAAAAGTTCCAGTCCCAATTTTGATCATAAGTCAAGGACTAACTGTATTATTTTCCACATAGAAATGTCACTTGACTATCTAAACTGTTAAAACTCTTAATACAATCCCAGAATCGAGCAAAATCTTAAACCCATAATATTAATCATCTTCACCAAAATCTAATTGTAACCTTCGGTTATGTGATAATTGCATCCCAAACTCTGTAAGAAGCTCATTAGTTTTTAAGGTGCAGTGAATCTTTCTTTTCTTAAAAACCTGCCACAGATTTCTTCTGAAGTTGGAATGATAGCGATCTGTCCTGCTTAATGTGAGGATTTTATTAATATTTACGTTAAGAAAGGCAATTTTGGAATAAAAATAGAATGTAGGTTTTCCGAGGGGAGGAAGAATGGGAGGCCTACAGCAGAAAAGAATAGAATTTGTATCGCTTCCCTCTTGCCTTTTTGTAAATTAGTCCCACGAGGCGATAGTGTGGCCTTGGATCAGGTGAAGCTCATCTTAAATAAAATTTTATCTGTGGAAGCATCCAAAATATCTGACTGTCCTCTTCCATGGGGAGAGTAACCCTGTAAATAAGTCCGTCATGATAAGGAAAACTGTGACCATCATGGTGAGAAAAATCAATAATATGACATTTTGGAGAACGCTCCCTGGTTTATACAATATCTAATTGTGGAGATTGCAACATTTTGACTTTGGATTAGGGATGGAATATTATTTCTCTCTTTTTCTTGTGAAGGGAGCAAATCAAAGACAAATCTTTCTGTACTCAGATCGGGACGAAAAAATTCATTTTTCTTCAAAGCAACTCAATGTACTTATTTACTTAGTTTAGAAAATGTATAGCTTTTAGCTGGTTCTCATTGCTGGAAACGGCAAGACTTAAAAAAAAAACTCCATCTGGTTGCTTGAAAACAGTAAGGAATAAAGCTTCCAATATCAAGCTGTGAATATTTAATTTCGGTGCAATCAAGTCCCGCTTTATATACCGCATTTGAATTCTGCCCTCTAGGGCGACAGCTTCCGCTAGCGCCTGCCAAAAATATCTTATCATAGCTGCGTATCAACCCCGGCATTCATCTTTAAAAATAAACGATAGTGTGATGAGCTAAACGCTAACTTAAACCAGTGTTCCTCAGCATCAGTAACTTTAAATCCCAGAAATGTCCTTCTTGTCACCACTACCACCGATTGAGTCATCTTCTGAGTTGTCCTTCAGCCTTTTCTGCCCTTGAAAATGGATGAAGTTAATCCCTGTCTCACATTGAACAAGTTTCCAACTAGGAGAGCTGGCAACTTATGGTTCTTAACTAGAAGTGTGATGTTGTGGACTGTCGGCTCCGAGGGGGAAGAGGGCATGGAGCTGGCAGAGAGGCAGAGCCTGGGCCATCCATCAGCCCTCAGATGGAGAGACAACAGTCCCCAGGTCTGGAGGTGGCTGATGAGGAAAAGGAGGAACAGCTGGGTCCAGTGCCTGATGCACAGAAGTTAGAGGAGAGGAGAGCAGTGGAAATCTTGGGCTGGTCCTCGGGATGGAAGAGCCACCACTGCCAGCGAAACCCCACCCTTGCTCTGGGAATAAAAGGCAGGGGGCGGAGATGAATAGATGTGACAGGCAACTATTCATCAGAGATACAGCGGGGAGAGAGAGAGGGAGGGAGGGAAAGAGAGAGAGAAGGAGAGAGAGAAAGAGAGAGATGGTCCTGTTGCTGTTTCTAACATCTAGAGCACCCTAACCCTAAACTAACCAAAGAGAGAAGCAACCTGGAATTAAGGAGAAACGTCCTAAGAGTGAGGACAATTAACCAGTGGAACAGAAGTTGCCTACAGAAGTTGTGGCTGCTCCATCACTGGAGGCTTTGAAGAAGAACCTGGACAGTCATTTGTCTAAAATGGTACAGGTTCTCCTGCTTAAGCAGGGGGCTGGACTATTTATTTATTTTATTTTATTTGACTAAAAGACCTCCAAGGTCCCTTCCAGCTTACTCTATTCTATTCTAGATTGTTCAACCTGGACTGCATAAGCATCTATTCATTTTTGGGGAGGGGGGGGAATGACAATTCATTAGTATGGATCAAAATAATCAGTGAAACATGTAAATTTGAAGTCTGACTGGAACTATTAAAAATTGTATTGCTTTTTTTTTTTTAAAAAAATCACAACTAAGAAATGCTGAGTGGTCCTGTATGCATGAAAAGCATTTGCTGATTTTCCATCATTATATGTTGCACTCCGGTGCCATCTAGTGAACTAATCCTGTAGTTACTCCAGTAAGATACCTATTCATCACATAAGGGGGCTTTTAAACCTTTGGGGTCTTATGAAAGATGCTTTCTGGCTTGCATTTTTTGCCTCTCTCTCTCTCTGTGCTCAGGGAGAGTTTGAGACTAGGAATCACTTGTCATTTGCTAGCCAGGTTATGCCTGGGCAATATTGGCTTTCCAGCAACGGCATTTACTTGAACCTCTCAGCCTCTGACATTGCAAAAAAAATGCAATGTAATGAAATGAAATGAAATGCATAAGCTGCTCACAGAGGCGACTTTGCAAGTCCTTGTATTTCTTCCAGCTGGAGCCAAAAGATGATCTAACCCCAAACCAGGAAGTGAGCTGGCTCTCACAGTGCTTTCCCTTCGGTTCTTCTCTATGGTTTCATCTTTTTTGTTTTTTAATCTTACTTGTCTAACTCCTATTGCATTTGTCTAAATGGGTCTGAAAAGTGGAAGATCGATTCCTTGTCCTTGTAGCAATGGTATTCCCCCCCCCCCCAATTTCTTGTCACCCAAAGTCTCGCTGGTGATCCTTTTCATTATGCCTTAAATCCTAATTTAGATGTCGATTTTTAGGACCAGGGGGAGAAATTCAGCCTTGGGGGAAGGTTTTTCTAAATAAGAATTCTTAAGAAGACCATGAGATAGTCTTGGGACTAGTTTTTTTAGATGCCATAAAACCACAGTTAGTTGAAAACTTTGTATTTATATCTTAAATTATGAAAGCCATATACACTGAAGTAGGAGGAAAAATATGAAAGATATGTTTAGGAAAAATACATATTGGAAATAAATTTTAATACAATATTGATTTAAAACCCCCTCCATTTTTCCTATGGCCATCATCTTTGAAGAACTTCTGCCCTTCCAATATGAAATGTGGAGAAAAACTTCCAAGATACAGTAGCAGCCAAAATTGTGGAAACCTTTTGGGAAAAGTGTATTTTCTAAAACTAGCTAAGAACACCACTTTTTTTTTTTTTTGAGCAGTACCATAAAATTATATATCAATGGAAAGATAATTTAATCAAGAATGTAATGTAATAACTTTTAGGAAGGATTTGCTACTAGAATAGCCCATTACGGTATAAAGATGAAAAGCGAAACACGTAGAAAAAACGAGATATACAAAAATGATCACCATAGGAAAAATGAGATATACAAAAATTATCTGCATGTCAGTTAATACTTAGTTGAGTAACCTTTAGCATGAATGATGACCTTACAACGTCTTCCCATGGAGCGAACCAAGTCTTTTAGTTCTGCAGCTGTTATCATGTGAAACCAAGATTAAATTATGGCTTTTATTAACTGGGTTTTATTGCTGGGTGGCTTCTGACTAACCAGTTTCTTTAGTCGGCTCCATAGATTTTCAATTGGGTGAAGGTCTGGGCTATTCCCAGGCCATTCCAGCAATGGAATAGGATTCTCTTGAAACTCCCCCCAAAAAAGTGGTGTTATTAACCATCAAACCTCAAAAATACACTTTTCCCAAAAGTTTTCCACAATTTTGGCCACTACTGTAGGTGCATGAACTAAAAAACTAGAAACCATTTTTTCCCCTCAGAAAATTGTGCTTTCTTTGTTTTTTTTAAATGAAACGTAGAAGCAATTGCATTTATGCAACTGACTTTTCTTCGGATGAATTCTGCTTTCCGGCAACATGTGACGTAAATGTTAGCTGACCCTCTCGTCTTTCTCTCCTCTTGCGAAGGGGCCTAGCTCCTCAGAACAAGCCAGAACTTCAGAAAGTGATGGAGAGACGAAAAAGAGACCAGGTTTTCAAGCAGAAGGAAGAGGAAGCCCAGAAGAAGAAGTCAGACTTGGAAATAGAACTTCTCAAGCGACAACAGAAATTGGAACAAGTAAGAGGGAAGAAAGAAGGTTTATCGGTCCACAGATAGTTCTCGACTTACGGCCACAGTTGAGCCCGTGGCTAAGCGAGACAGTTGTTAAGGGAGCTTTGCCCTGTGTTACCACCTTCCTTGCCCCACCTGTGAAGTGTATCATTGATTGATTGATTGATTGATTGATTGATTTAGGGAATTTATATCGCTGCCTATTCGCACATGGCAACTCAAGGTGGCTTACAGAATATAAAACCTCGCTTAGAACAATAAAACTAATAAAAAAGAATCAAATAAATTAATATAATATAATAAAATAAAATCACCCCCATCCCTGGCAACAGTACATCAGACGAGCCTTTTAATGGGCTCTTTCCTGCTCTGGGTTCCCCAGGCCCGCTGGCAGAACCAGGACTTCCGGAAGAGTGTCAGAGTGAGGGCCATTTTAATCTCTGGGGGGATGATGTTCCAGAGAGAGGGAGCCACCACGGAGAAGGCCCTTCTTCTGGGTCCCACCAGGTATATCTCCCTCGGGGATGGGACGCACAACATTCTCTGCCTCCCCGCTCTGGTGGGTCGGGTAGATGTCACCGGCAAGAGACAGTCCCTCAGATCACCTGGTCCCAAGCCATGAAGGGCTTTAAAAGTGACAGCCAGCTCCTTGAATTGCACCCGGAAGAAAATCGGCAGCCAATGCAGCTCCTGCAGAAGAGGTGACGTATCTGCACACGGAGGTGTGCACAAAACCGTGCGGGCTGCTGAATTTTGCACCAACTGGAGCTTCCAGATGCTTTTCAAGGGCAGCCCCATGTAGAGCGTGTTGCAGTAGTCAAGACGAGAAGTGACTAGGGCCTGAGTGACTGTGAGTAGGGATTGTCAGTTGAGGAAAGGGCGTAACTGGCACACAACCCGCAGTTGTGCAAAGGCCCTCCTGGCCACGACCGCCACTTGTTCTTCAAGCAGGAGTTGCGAGTCCAGGAGAACCCCCAGATTACACACAGGGTCTGTTTGGTGAATCATTGCAGTTGTTAAGTTAGTAACACGATTGCTAAGCAAATTTGACTTTGTGGGTCAGAACAAAGGGGATCATGTGACGGTCATAAATGTGAGTCAGTGTCTGAATTTTGATCACGTGACCATAGGGATGCTGCAACGGCCGTCAGTGTGAAAAACGATGATAAGTCACTTATGTTTCATTGCTGTTGTAACTTTGAATGGTCATTAAAGAACGTAAGTCAAGGACTACCTGTTATTGATCTTGATTCCCGAAGGGACCTCCTGAATCAGGGACCTCAAAATAGTTCTGAATTCTTTCAGAACCCAAAGGGAAGACACAATGGAGGACAGGCTCGGTTACTTCTGGCAGGTTCGGAGAACAGGTTGACCTCATCTTCTTTGTGGCAGCCCCTGAGATATTGGAAGACAGCTACCATGTCCCCCTAAGTCCTTCTTTTCTCTAGACTGGCCAGTCCCCAATTCCTGCAACCGTTCTTCATATGTTTTAGCCTTCAGTCCCCTAATCCTCTTTCTTGCTCTTCTCTGCACTCTTTCTAGAGTCTCCACATCTTTTTTACATCGTGGTGACCAAAACTGAATGCAGCATTCCAAGTGTGGCCTATAAGGCCTTGGGCCTTATAAAGTGGTATTAACACTTCACGTGATCTTGATTCTCTCCCTCTGTTTATGCAGCCCAGAACTGTGTTGGCTTTTTTGACAGCTGCTACACACGGCTGACTCATATTTAAATGGTTGTCCACTAGGACTCCAAGATCCCTCTCACAGTTACTACTATGTCTTCCCTTTGGATTTTGAAAGAATGTTCAGCTATTTTGAGGTCTCCTAGTTCATACCTTCCTTCTGGAATTGGCCCTTGGAGAGACAAAATCTCTTCTCTTCTTAAAATATATCTATCTATCTTTCCTTTCTAGCTTGAACTTGAGAAGCAGAAGATCCAGGAGGAGCAAGAAAACGCGCCCGAATTTGTCAAGGTGAAAGGCAACTTGAGAAGAACGGCCCAGGAATCCTCAGAAGCTCCAAACTCCTAGAGAAGGAAAACTTCTTTTAAGACTTGAAGCTTTCAGCTCCAGTGGGCAGTAGGGAAGGGACTTCTGAGACGTCTGGCACCCATTTGCCCCGGAGCGGATGCAAAAAAACGTGGTCAATACAAGGTCAATTTCTGGATCCTGTTTTGAAAGGGTGACTGCTTAGAAGTCAAAACTTGCCAGTAATAATACGGAGATCAGAGGATAAACAAGCAACCTGCTTTTTCCTATCCCAGATAAGATGGAGAACCTGTTTTGAGGAGCTGGGTTGCTTATTTACTCCTGATCGTGCTTAAGTGAGCATTCTCAGGCTAATATGTCTGCATTTTTTCCCCCTCTCCTTGTTCCTACTTTGTGGAATTCTGCTATGCAGGAAAAAAAACAAAGTGTGTTTTTTTTTTGAGACCACTTTTTGAGTTACGTTCTGTGTGGAAACTTGGCTTCAGCAATGGAGCTGGCCACTCAGATATTTTGTGTAAATAGAAAAGTCCTTTAGACTTGAAGCTGGATTTTTCCCATTTATCTCTAATAGGTAGGATGGACCACCACAGCTGCGAGGAAGGAAGGAAGCAAAGAAAGAGAGGCAAATGCAATATTCCCGGTCGTTAGATGGCTAAAATATATTCTTGACCACTTCTGGGGTTGTAAAGAAATGGATAGTTTTTGCAATGCAACTCTCTTTTTTTTCCCCTCTCTCTAACCCAACCTTGCTAAAGCAGTGTTGTACTTTATCATTGATTCCTCTGGCACATGCCATGGTCTACATCGCAGCTGATGTTTACTTCGATCAGGGTTTCCAAAACCTTACATCTGAGTTTCTGATTCTCAATTTTTTTGCTTCTGACCCTGAGTTTGCAAACATTTTATGGGACAGCCTGAGAACTTCTGGGTCAAAGAAGAAGCCACAAACCCTAAAAATACATTCTGGTGCATCGTTTTTCATCACCTGTGTAGATTTATTATTTTCTTTTAAGATTAACAAAACCAGGCAAGTTTGGAATAATACTGTCAGGGCTTGGCCAGGGAGTGGGAGTTTAAAAAACAACAACATGAAATTCTCTTTATTTTCTTTGTTCTCCATGAAATCCAGTTACATTTCCACCTGGAGGTAAAAGCCCATTAATGCCAGAGGAACTTACTTCTCGACAAATGGAAATCAGATTGTAGATTAATTTATCTCGGTATATATTTTTTTCTTAAGTTGTCCACCATCCGATTCTTATCTCATTCCTGTTTTCAACTAGTGAGAATGCCAGTGAGAGGCCAGGATTATGGAAAAACTATGGATTTCCAGGAAAAATCTTAGGGTAGGACTTTCCTCCAACAGTCCTAAGCTCCAATTTGTCCAGTGGCATCTCCAATACAGAAGTCAACAAATTCAAGATGGCAGCTGTGACCATGTGACCAAAGCCCCTCCCTCCTTTTTTGCATGGGACCAAAGGAGCAGAGCTTTGATCCTGTCGTTTTAGCTGCCATTTTGAATTTCTAAAAATCCCCCCTCCCCCCAAACCTGAAATGGCTTCAAGGTTTTGTCCAGTGTTCCTGACTGGATTCAACCATCTTTTAAAATGACCTCTTGATCATTGGTCCTTTATAAGAATTCAGAGAGCAAGCCATAGTTTCCTACAGATTTTTTTTTTTTTAAATAACTTCAGGAAATCCATCTACTTACACTTCTGGCTGAGTTTTGTGGGGCGTTGATGGGATTTTAGTACAGTCCCTCAGGAAAACGTAATTCAGGAATGCTTAGCCTGTGACGTCCTCCGTGGCACATGATACCAAGGGGGTGTTTTATTTCATTTTATTTTTTTAAAGCCTTAGTTTCAGAAAACCACTGAACCTTGAACCTCTGCATTGCGGAAACAAACCTAACTTGGATAATGAGAACTTTTAGCAAGGATGACCAGGGTAGCCTAACCTTGATTTGAGTTCATTTTTGTGAGTGCTTGTCACATATGTGTGTTGTTTCTTGCACTTGTTCATTGGGGTATACGGATGGATGGAAACCCTCCGAGCTAGCTTTCATTAGTGATCACAATAGGTAGGTAGAACATTAGCAGTACAAAAATCACATTCAATAACCCCTTAAATAGGACCAGCTCCATTTCACCTTCCTGTTACATCCAAGCAAAATCCTTGACAGAGTTTACATCGGTTGATACAAGCAAGGGACCTATTTAGTCCTTTCGAGCCCATGTCTTGCGACCGACAGCAAGCAATCTAAATAAAATCACATTATCCATCCCAGCCAGTAAGAAAAAGGTTTCTGGGAGTTACCATTTACTTCTAATTTAAATCTTGACACAAGTTATTTTTATCACTGACTTGGATTTATAGGGTTGTGTCTTTTTAGGAGGACACATTTAAAGGGCTTGATAAAATATATGTGTGTGTGTGTGTGAATGCTGGTGGATGGTTTTGCCACGTGAAAGGGAAATAGGAGAGCTTGATTTTTATTTTTTTATTTTTTTTGGAAAAGGTGACTTTCTCTTGCCATGCCGACAGGTGACAATTCCAGCTTTAATTTCTTCTTTTGGGACCAGAGGTGACGAGATTGTACACCACTAACCACTAACCTTCCCTTTCTCTACATCAGTGTTTCTCAACCTTGGTAGCTTGAAGATGGGTGGACTTCTGGGAGTTGAAGTCCACCCATCTTCAAGCTACCAAGGTTGAGAAACACTGCTTGGTCACTGCAGCAAGAGTTTGGAGGTGGTGGGAATGCTCCTAACACTGTGGATTTTCTTCTGGGGAAAGGACTTGCCTTAATGGACCCACCTACTCCTATGTCTTTCTCCAGCTGTGCCATTGAATTCATCCCTTCTAGAGGTTCCACTTCCATAACCACCAGCTGGCTCAGTAGACATCAAAAATTCACAACACTCGGTATCATAATCCCCAATGAATGTTTGACCCCCGCCTAGTCCTTTGCGTATCGTAGTCTTCTCCAACTTCATTAAAACCGGACCGTCTGCCAAATAAATTTACTCCTGGTTTAGCGACGAATAAAATCAACTGGATTTTTAAAAAGATGTTTCCTAAAACAAAGGAAAAAAACCAATTTTGCAGACCACGCTGCCTAGCAGTCGTAGGAAAAAAGTAGGAAACGGTGTTCCTCTGGCAGAATGTAATATTTTTGGGTCATCGAAGAATGCTGCGAGAATTTGTATTTCTGCTTTGCTTCGGGAGCCAGAATTTGGTTTCAAGTCAGCGTGACAACACTCAAACCATCAGTGTAACATTAAGTCAGCTTTTGAGTAATATTTTGGCATTGTTCAGCTCTCTTTTATTGGCAGAAAGCCGTCAAGATTGTGATAATAACTTTCCCATTTTTTTTTCCAGAAGCGTACCTGGATATCCTCTGTTGAGCTATTTTAATTTAAAAGTGATATTGTCTCCTTTTAGAAATGTTGTCTTTTTAAATGCTTTTAAAAGAATTTTTAGTTGGTTAAGGTGGAAAATTAGTGCCACCTCCCAATCCTCTAGGTTAGGCTATTTTTTCATGTCTTTACTTGTTTCCCGGTGTACATATATAAATATTAAAAAGGGAGCCTTAAGGGGATTTGTTTTCATAATTTAATATTTTTTGTATTTTTTGCTCTTGCCTACTTGTTTTTAACAAAGTGTTACGAAAATGAGGGTGGAATTCTTAGAACCAAAGTTACTACTTAATAAAAATGTATTACCTGCTTGGAATATGCAATGGTGTGGATGTGTGGCCTCCATCTCTGTGGTGTCTAATCTTTTGTCACTTTAAAACTGTCTTTTTATTTTTTGCCCTTCTAACAGGAAATGATTTCAGAATCTCGTGCACAAGCAAGGGGCCCCCATTAAGCAATTTAAAAAAAAAAGTTATTTAATTACTTCTAAAAAGGTTAAATTGTGAGAACTGGACCAAAAGTTTGTTAATCTGAGATTAACGAACAAGTAATTTCATGAGTCAAAATCAAAATTGAGAAAAAGCTCTTTGACTGATGAAACTTGTCTGGAATGGTATGAGCCACGCGGATCAAACTCACCATGTCACATTGCTGTCATGTGACGTTTTGCGACGGTTTTCCCATTCACGGAGCTGGGCTGGGCGTGGCCTGTACATGACACATCCAGCCCACGGGCCGCCGGTTTGACACCCCGGTATAGAGTCTCCTGCTTGAGCAGGGGGTTGGATTAGATGACCTCTGAGGCTGCTTCCGACTCTGTTGTTCTGTATTCTGTATCTCCTCTCTGAGCCACGAGGGGTTGAATTCATGTATTATGCTAGCCAGCCACGTGGTGGTTTAGGACAACACACGGTTATGTTCACGTAATCGACTTAGCAAGAGTTTGCTGTGTCAGCCCACAAAATGTCCTACACTTCAAAGATTTGCTGTTGTTGGGAAAGACGGAAAACCCTGCTGTGCTGTTGCCATGTGTTCCCTTTGGACCTAAGGCTTCCTTCTCCCAATCTAGCATCCCTCCGTCATCTCAATGTTTTTGCAGGATCCCCTTTCCAAATAACTTAATCGGGGAGAAGAAAGAGGTTAAGGTAACCAAGAGAGGAGATGAGCTGAATACATTTACCCTGTTTCCCCTAAAATAAGGCCTCCCCTGATAATAAGCCCAATCGGGCTTTTGAGCACATGCTCTAAAATAAGCCCCCCCAATATAAGCCCTCCCTGAAAATATTTAACTGCACGCGCAGCTGGTCCCCGCCATTTCCCAAAGTAATAAGACCTCCCCGAAAATAAGGCCAAGTGCTTATTTCGGGGTTCAAAAAAATATAAGACAGGGTCTTATTTTCGGGGAAACACGGGTATGTAGCTACCCTATTGTCATCTTCAAGGGCCAACGGCCGCCAAAGGGCACAGCCTAAGAGCAAGACCACCAGTTGGAGGTAGCTGCTGATTTCACTATTTTTTTTTATTCCTAGAGAAGGAGGTTCAGGAGGGCAAATCAAAGGAAGATCCTGGCTTGCTCAGCAGAGAAAATTTAACAACCACCACCCCAAAAAAAAAAAAAAAAGTGAAAAACTCTGCAAAAAAATTACATTGAAATAATACAGATAAGGTGGTTTGGATCCGACATCATCAACATGTATGTTCTAAGCCCGTGATGGTGAACCTATGGCACGCATGTCAGAGGTGGCACGCAGCACCCTCTCTGATGGCACGTGAGCCATTGCCCCAATTCAGCTCTGCTGCGCATGTGTGCATGCCTCCCGCCAGCCAGCTGGCCTTTGGGTCCCTGCCGCGCATGAGCGTGGGGTGGGGCATGTGCCCCCCCTGGCTGCACTTGGGGGTGGGAGGCATATGGAGGGCGGGGTGCATTCAGGGGCGCGTGCATGCATGGGGACTGCACATGCACGAGGGCCGCAAGCGCATTGCATTTTGGGAGGTCAGTCCAGAAAAGGTTAGCCATCACATCCCAAACTGTTAGGGTTCAGTCTAATCCCATAGCAATACACCTATTGTTTTTTCTTCCAATTAAAAGATCCTGCCTAGGGGTGGAAGAGAAACGGCCTAGACTTCTCTCCTGGATCCTCCTAGACCTAGAGGGGGCTGTATTTTTTTTTATTATTATTATTATTTTAATTTGATTTATATGCCGCCCTTCTCCGGAGACTCAGGGCGGCTTACAATGTGCTCAGCAATGAGGGTCTCACATTTTTGGTTTGTGTTTTTTTTTACAACTTTGCAATTGAAAGAGCCTTGGTAGTACAGTGGTCTAAGGCACCCTGTTATTAAGCTGGTTATTAAGACCAGCTGCCTGCAATTTCTGCTGGTTCGAATCTCGCCAAGGCTCAAGGTTGACTCAGCCTTCCATCCTTTCTAAGGTAGGTGAAATGAGGACCCAGTTTGTGGGGGCAATAAGCTGATTTTGTATAAATATACAAAAGGATGAAGGCTATTGCTGAGCACATTGTAAGCCGCCCTGAGTCTTCGGAGAAGGGCGGCATATAAATCAAATTAAAAATAAAAATAAAAATTGGGTCTTTCACAAAGACTCCCTTATGAATGCTTTGCAAAGCCTTGTTTGTCTGTAATCTTTGAATGCAGGCTGCTCTCTGAACTTGTTTTTTTTTTTCCTGTAGAGTTTCATGATCCAACTAGGGAACATCATCAGTGATAGAAGGGAGGGGGGTTGGTGGATAGGAGGAGGAGGAGGACTGTGGGTCCTTGGTGCTCTCTGAGCTTGGTGGTTTTCTTGCAAACATTTCATGACCCAACTAGGTAACATCATCAGTGCTGGAAGGGAGTGAGGTTTACATCTAATTCTGGTCATAAGTCAAGGACTAGCTATACTTGCAACCACCAGGACTAGAAGCATAACTATTAAAATGCCCCATCCAAGTGTATCTCATCTGCAGCCACAAAGCATGAAATGTTTGTCATTAAATAAAATCCGGAGCAGCTGAATATTAGCAAGATTTTAAAGGCCTTCGTGAAAATCGTTTTGAGGCTACAAGTTGTATCTCCCGCTGTTTATCTGGCTACAAGAGGATGATGATTAGAGCATCTTCAAGAATCTGGTTTTGCCAGCCGATCGTGTAAAAACACGATTTGTGTTTAAGAAGCCGGGCTTCCTAGCTGGAGATTTTTTTTCTTGTACAGGATGTTGCATTTAATGCTGAGCTAAACATTCTTTCAGGTGCTGAATTAAAATTGAACAAGAGGGTTTTGGAGGGAGAGGCCAATTTAAAAAAGGTTGCATCGAGCTTTTTTTTTAAGTGTGTGTGTTGTGTGTAAAATGTGCAAGACAGTCAGAAATTGAAATACAGGATTTGTGATCTCAGATTGTCTTCTTAACACTCCCAAGGCTGTTTTCTGTTTCCATTTTCAAATGACAAGACAAAATGGTGTTTTCAAAGGGGACAATATTTTGCTTCTGGCAATCCTCCTGTTAATACGGAGAAGTTTTGCACCATGTTTTAAAAATTAGAACAGTTAGGTTCAGTGTTTCCTCAAATATAGGTCAACTCACGCCAGTATGTTATCTTGTTTTACAGATACAAAACAAAATTAATTCTTCTTCCAAAAACCTGGTTACCTCTCTGTTTCTGTTCTTTCTCTCTCTCAAAAAAAATCTGATCTGATCCTAAGTGTGATATTACTTGTACAAAGCCTTCAGAGGGCACCCACCAATTTCTATCTTTTTAGTACGAACAATTAAAAACACAATTTAAGACACAGAGAATTTTGGGAAATGGTGCAATTTTCTCAAGTTTTCTGCGTTCTTGAAGAATGATATGCAGTGTGACAAATTGTAATTTTTTAAAAATGTGCAGCTGTAATACTGGGATTTGTTGAGATGCTGCCTGATTTTAGAGGAGATGAGTTCAAATCCCGCCTTAGTCATGAAAGCCAACTGGGTGATTTAGGGCCAATCACCAGGAGTCTGTGAGTTCTAGTTCCACCTTGGACATAAAAGCCAGCTGGGTGACTTGGTCACCTTCCTTTGGGCTCAGTTGTGGTCGTAACTCAAGGACTACCCCGTACAAGCCAAATAAGCAGAAGAAATAGATGAACTTTTAGCTAATCAGTTAACCAATATATGCAGGAAACACACCACAGTAGTAATGGGAGACTTTTAATTACCCTGATATCAACTGGGAGACAAATTCTGGATCAACTGGGAGATCAGACAGATTCCTGACCAACCTAGCTGACAACTTCCATCACCCAAAAGCTGAAGCTCTGTTTGTGGGCTTCTTTTCTGAAGCTTTTCTGATGCTTTTTTCAGCCTCTGAAACCTCCGCTTGAGAAGCCGGTGGGGCTACATTCAGAGTATAATATGCACCCAGATTTTCACCCTCTTTTTTGGGGGGAAAAGGTGTGTCTTATACTCTGAAAAATACTGTAATCAAACTAGGGTTTTAGTCTTTAAAAGAGCTGATTTTAACAAACTCAGAGAGAACTTGGAAAGGATCCCATGTATGAAACTCTTACAGGGGAAATCAATTCAAGAAGCTTGGGAAACTCTGAAAAATATGATTATAAAAGCCCAGTCTAGTTCAGTACCACTTCTGGAGAAGAGGGATCATTAACATAAGTGTGAAGGCTACGCCTGAAAATTGTAAGATGGCCTTTATGGTTCTCCTGTACCAAGAGAAAGGTAGAAAGAAGGAATGAAAAACGAAAATTGTGGCATTAGTTTATTAACCATGCCTAGCAGGGCTGTGCAAACCAAATTTTATTTCTAGAGCCCGAGGCTTAGATGGCATACAAATTTTGGTAATAAAATGTTTCATAAAATGAATTGGTTTGAATTATGGATGATTCTCATAAGTGTGGAGTTGAAGGTTGATTGCTGAAGGTGATAAGAGCAGAACATGATGAAATTAAAGCAGGCAGCCAAATTAATGGAATGCTTAATAAATGGTTCTACACCTACCAGGGAGTATGTGAAGTATGTCCTCATGTTGTCTTGATTGAAGATGTTTCTTTCTTCAAAAATGAAAGTGAGAAGTTAGAAAAAAGCAAAACAAATATATGAATTGGGGGAAAAAAGCCAACACAGTTCTGGGCTGCATCAACAGAGGGATAGAATCAAGATCACGTGAAGTGTTAATACCACTTTATAAGGCCTTGGTAAGGCCACACTTGGAATCCTGCATCCAGTTTTGATCACCATAATATAAAAAAAGATGTTGAGACTCTGGAAAGACTGCAGAGAAGAGCAACAAAGATGATTAGGGGACTGGGGGCGAAAACATCTAAAGAACGGTTGC